ACAAATGAGCACGAAACTTAAAAATACACATCGTCACTCAAATATCTGTTTGTACGTTACGTTTTATTTTTTAATTACAGTTGACACACATATATATATATATATATATATGTGTGTGTGTGTGTGTGTGTGTGTGTGTGTGTGTATCATTTACAATTTAAACTTTATTTTCTTCTTCTAAACTTTCGTTATTAGGCCAAAACTGAGATCTTCATGGACCACATATTGTACGATGCAATAAACGCGAGTGGGATAGTCGGAATCGTTGAGGAAATCGGATTATGTAATGCTTCTCTGACGACAAAATTATTATTAAGTATCCCTTACGGACATGTACGGAATATGTTTGACGACGACGACGTTTCAACGAGAGTTATTATATAAAATTTCACGAGGTGAAACACACGCGCTCCGTACTTGGATTTACATCGAATTTACGCCGCATTATGTCGGCCACTGTAAAACTGTTGATTTTCTCACACACACCACCTTACGAGGACGATGAATGAAAGAGAGAATTATTCGAGCGAAAGCGAAACAACATCTGGTTGTTGTCGAGCGCGCCATATGTCAGCCCGTCGCGATCACAGTCAGTGATTTCGCCCAATACTGTATTCTAATTCTGAATTCTAAGCAAATGTTTGCAGCAGCCCGTATAATTGGTGAGTACGTACGTTTTGTATGTACGTGTATGTGTGTGCGTGCGTGTGCGTGCGTGTGTGTGTATACACGAGCGGGACCACACTTGGAACTCCGGTCGGAGTTCGTAATTATAGAGGCGTCCGCATTCAACAACGTAGGAATTTCATTTTCGTAAAACGACGAGAAAAGAACGTGTAATATCGTGTGTAATATTCGCATAATGCGGTGCAATATCGATATTCACGGTATGCCGAAATATATGTCGTGAGGAAATTTGTTCGAATTTGCTCGAAATCTGCGAATTTTTCCACGCTCGCGATGACAAATTCGTGACTTTGTCCTCTTTATATAATATTCAGAATGAAAAGAAAAATAAGAGACCTTACTCAAGACTTTACTCGTGATGATATTCATATCTGTAAAAATTTTCTACGTGTACACGTACGTTTTATTAAAATATACAAATCGAGCGTAAATGTAAAAAAAAATTTTGCAATTAAAATGATTTGTCAAATTGAGAGGACAAAATTTTTAAAGAATATAAAATCATCAAAAAAAAAAAAATTGCAAAATCAATTTTGTAAAAAAAGCAATGTGTACAATTTGTCGCAATTTCCTTTTGTCGCTCTTTTTCATTCTTCTTTTCTTAGTGTAAAAACGTGCTTAGAATGCGATTAGGCTTAAAGTAAAGTTTTAATGATCAATTATAAATTAACTTTTAGGATTTGATTGTGATGTGCCTAGAACTAAATTTAATTTAATTCTGAATTTGTATATCATAATGTATATTTTAGATAGCGGTTTTATCTCATTAAGCAGATGTAAAGATGTACAATTCACAAAATTGAAAAGTTATATAGCGTTCGTTTTATAATACGATCGATTATTCATCGATATGCAGATATAAGCAATTCCGGTAGGTAATTTCGATTGTAGTCATATTTGCACGATTGCCAAAAATCTTCAGGTGCATACAGAAGGGATGATTCGCATATTTCACGAGCTGTTCTCGTGAAATATGCGAATCGAGGACGCCGTTAAAGAGGCATATACAAGTATTGCATCCGTCGAAGTATTCCTTGCCTGAGGTACGCATTTTCGTTCGCACCGCTATGTAAACACGATA